TTTTCAAGAGATAAATCCTCAAGCCTCAAAAAGTCTTTTTTCAGCACCATTTGCAGTAGCACTTTGTAGGTGGAAGAGAATAGTCTTCCCAATCACTGAATGGTTGAGGTTGGAAGGGACCTTTGTAGACCATCTAGACCAAATCTGCCCAAGCAGGGTTCACCCAGAGCAACCCTGCTGCAGGGCTCTGTCACCCTCACAGTAAAGAGATTTTCCAGTTTGTGCCTGTTTGTCATGTTGATAGTCACCATTGAAAATAGTGTGGTCCCAAGGGGGCTGCCACCTCCCCGTCGGGGAATCGAACCCCGGTCTCCCGCGTGACAGGCGGGGATACTCACCACTATACTAACGAGGAGTTGGGTGGTTGTTTAAATGTTGTTTAAAACCAATTTTGTTGTAAATTCTCTAATCTCTTCCTTTCAAAGTAGTGTTTCAGAGCTCCAGCTCAGTTTTGCTGCAGCCTATCAAATAGCAGGAAGCTGAGCTCAGAGTGTCAGCCCTTCGGCTTTAATATTTCTTTGACTAGTCCTAGTGTCACTGAGCTTCTTTTGCCTGTCTGAGAGCTGAACAGTGGTAAAAGTCTCACAGTTTCCAGAGCTTTTGCTAGCAGACATGAGGGCTGATAACAGAATGAGACTATTGACCAGCTCCTTTGCTTTCTTTAAAACCTGTTGAACTAGTATGATGCTTACAGGTCATCATGTGCTAAAAAGAAAAGGGAAAAATTATGCTCAGTGTAATCAGTGAGATGTTTACTGAATGGAAGAGCTTATTTAATAAATGTACAGCTGACATAACTTTATGGCTGTAGTTAGCTTAGCAAGTTCAAATGTATCATTTCCAAAGCTTTTCACTCCAGAGTGAGGGTCTGGCTGGAGACAGAGATTTGCATCATAGAATCATAGAATGCTTAAGGTTGGAAGGTACCTCTAGAGGTCATCTAGTCCAACACCCCTGCACACGCAGGGTCACCTAGAGCACGTGGCACAGGACTGCGTCCAAGCGGATTTTGAAGATCTCCAGATCTTCAAATCTCCAGACTCCACAACCTCTCTGGGCAGCCTGTTCCAGTGCTCTGTCACCCTCACTGTTAAGAAATTTTTCCTTAAGTTCATGTCATTGTCATCATTGCTCCACTTGTGATAGACAACACAAAAACCTGGAGAAGCACATCTCCCTCCATGAAAATCAGGCACTGGTTTCAGAGCAGGAGGTTTGTGTTGGTTGTTACAGTGACCCAGGTGTGTTTATCTGAACTCGGAATGCTTGTTCTGGGAGGGTTGATTTAAGAAAAAATGAAGCTCTCTGTCACTATTCATAAAAAGAGCTAGTGACTAGAGTGGCATAAGAAACACCAGGTACAGCAGATGCTGAGCATGGTGCAAGCTCCAGGAAGGGCAAAGAGGGAAAAGCTTATCCTTTCCTCAGGAGCATAAAGAGATGGGGCCAGAGAGGAAACCAGAGACAAGGCTACAAAGTGCATCCATGCCAGAGCAGAGCCCCAGGAATGTGTGAGGGGTTCATCCAGGAGACAAACTAGCTACAGCACAGGCCTGAGGTCTTTCTGGGAGATGGGTCAGCGACAGAGCTACTTCCAACAAAGCTCGGGCAAGAACTGCAGGCCTCGTCCTAAGCTTAAATGGGCTACTGGGCCCATGGCAGGCTATGGGTAGAGGCCCCTGGTGAGGCTGGGCAGGGCCTTGAGGGCCTATGAGTGCTCTCAAGGCCCTGGCAATTAGTTTTATATGATCAGTGAGTTCTCTCCCCAGTTTTGGAGTCTCCTTTTGTATTTGTCATGTTAATCAAACCGTCAGTTTCAAGGGAATTAAAATATAGTCCTGTCAGTTAAAACAAAACAAAAACAGTTTCAAACACAGTACAGTATCAAATGTGCACAACTATAATGCAGTCTGATATGTCCTTATGCTTGTCATCTGTCTGATCAAGATCTTAGAGACCAAAAGAAACTTTTTTTTTTTTTTGGCACTAACATAAGCTGTGAGCTGTGAGCTGTGAGGAGCGCCAAAATTTTATGTCTGGCCTTCAAGAGCTTTGAGTATTTTTTGGTGGCTCTCAGGGCCAGTTCCTCACATCCTTCTGATCGCAGGCACTGCTGTTTGCCAGAGGGGCTACCAACCCCAGCAGATGCAGAAAAGCAACCATCTCTGCTTCCCTAAATAGCAGCCCCTTGGGCCCATTTGAAGAGATTTTCCTCCTCTTTCTCATTATACCTTGAGAGTGTGTCTTGTAACCTTTTCCCAATGGTACAGGGAGAGGAAGAGCACACAGATGCATTTTCCTTGGGGCTTCTGTGGGATTCACCACACTGTGCTACAGCTGAGAAAGGGAAAGGCAAGCTTCATATAGGCATGGAAAGTCAGCCTAAATAAACATTGGCTATACATAAATCTGTACTGTGTTCTAAGCTGTCAAATTAAGAAGTTTCACCACCATAAACTCGATTTAACAAAAATATTACAAACAAAACATTTGAAATAATGGTGTAAAACACCTCAAGTGAATTCTTTGCATCTTCCATCACTGGTGATCAACTCTGCATATTACTTTTTATGGTAGTCCTTTGCTTGTGGCTGACTGACTTCCTAATGAGAAAGACATACTTTTTTTTGTCCACTGTACAGTATGAAGTTTTACAGAGTATGGAGACATACAAGGACCAGACCCACAAAGAGACTCCTCTGGTGAAGGATTATAGAGCAGCAGATGGGTAAATCAGCACAGTAGGGCTTTCTTGATAACATTATAATGCAATAACTCCTCAGTATCACAAAACCACAGGATGAGCATCATATGTTACCATTATTAATGTTTTCATCATTTAATGCGCTCTCCTGGGGCTCTTCGATGCTACCATAGCAAACAGTATTTCTCTTTATCGGAGAAAGCTTTTGATACGCGTAACAAGATTACTATGGCCTTCTACATTAAATAAAAGTATTCTATTTATAATGTATGGTTTTGGTTAGTGATAGGAAAAACGAAACAGCGTTAGTTCCTATCAGTCCTCTGTGCAATACTTTTGGTTCCATATCACATAAAAATAGTGAAAAGACAGACATGATTGCTTAATTCTAGCACACAGACTGTTGAGGTTAACATGTGGTTGATGGTCTTTACATGTCTGAAGACTGTGGTTGAGACTTTATTAGCAACTGCACTTTTTCTCACATGTGTTTCAGATGTGTTTTTTCTACGTTGGCCTGCCCCTCTTCCTGCTTGGCACAGGCGAAAATATCTATCAGAGCAGCCTTCCATATATCCAGCAGGTTAGGCTGATGGTTACATTTTCAAAAGAGCAACAAAAGTGACACCAAAACACAGGAAGAAAGCAAACAATACTATCACTCCAAAATCCAAGGTGAAACATATTGGGAGAAAGGACAAAATGAGTCTGGTCATAAACCTCTAGTAAGGCTCAATTGCTGGTTTCAGTAAAGAAGCAGCAATGTCAACTGAATCTGACCATGTTACCTATAGATATATAAAATGAGAGGATGGCAATACAACCCGGACTTTCTATTAAATATCTGATATTTCTTGAAATTCAAGAGAACTGAAATTTCAAAAAAATGGAAATTCAATCTGCTGTGTTAAAAGAAGCAAAGCTTAATCGTGACAGAAAACTCTACAAACTTACTATCAAATTTCATTTCATTCCAAAGAGTAGCTGAGTGGTATCTTTTTCTTGGCTGGATTTGCAGTTAGAGGAGATCCAAGGATCACAGAACTTGTGCAGAACGTCTGTGAAACAAGGGTCATCCTGCACATGTTCTTCATGTACAATTTCTGCATGCATATTGAATCTGGTGTGTTTGAAACACTGGGTTTACCTCTTATCTGCCAAACAGCATTGCAGTGTAGGGCTTCTGTGTTCCAGTCAAGAACATGGCAAACCTAGCTAAACACCGCTATAGAGAAAACAAAACGAACACTGCAAATATGGCAATGAGTAGCACCGTAGGACTTATTTTCCTTTAGTCCAGCAGAGTCTAGAGAGTAGAGTAAAATCTGATCACAAAACCTCAAAAAGGCAGTCTTGTCTTGTTAATCAGAGGCCATGTGAAACTGATGACAGTCTTTCCAAGGTTTTTGAAGGGCCTGGATTCTGGCCAATGTAAAAATCACAAAATCAAATTTACCAGCTGTGGATTCTTTTTATATGTGAATGAGAAACATTTGGAGCAAGTATTGTCCAAATACAGCAACTGTTTCTTCCATCTTCAACACATTTTTTATAGAAACAGAGGAATTGTCACACTGGCTTAGACCTCTGGACAACTAACTCTTATCCTTGACAGGTTTTCATCAGATACTTCAGGGAAAGAAGCAAGAAAACATGAGATCAAATCAATGTGAAATGCTCTCTCTATAAATATCCTCCAATCTTCAGTATTTAGAGACTGATTTATGATTTGAAGGTTTTATATCTCTTCTTAAATGTGTTAGTCAGAGAGACCTAACATTGATATGGAAAACCACGATATCTGGAGATCTTTCCAAGTTGTTGGTTACCATTTAGAATACTTGCTGCATGATCTCTCAGATGAGCAACACCTGGAGCAGCCCTACTGCACTGCAAAAATGTTTCACATTTTTACACAGTACCTACCCATACGAACGTAAGCAGCATTTCTGTAGAAATTTCATTACTAACAAATTCAGAATACCACAGAACTCTCTCTTTTGCATTTCGAAGTATACCAAAATTTGTTTTTCTTCCCAGAACTATGTCAACCTCAGTTGCTCAGAAGAGATTCACTCGCCAAGTTCTTGGGAGAGAACAAAATTGTCTGTGCTAACACTGTTTCTATAACGCTTTCATTTGAACTCATCCTTTTTAAACACCACAGGAGACTTCTATATTAAGTTACTTTACAAATCCCTGTTTTACAGAGAATTTGATGACCTATTTCTAAGAAATTGCCAGAATGAAAAGAAAGCCAATGTCATTAAACAATTTCTCTCTCTCTCTCTCTTAGGATGGATTTATAGACTTCTTGGAGTTCATAGCTGCAATAAATTTGGTTATACGAGGCAAAATTGACCAAAAATTGAAATGGTACTTTAAGCTGTATGATGCTGATGGAAATGGATGCATTGACAAAAAAGAACTATTAAGCATATTCACGGTAAGCAAGTTATGACCAACAGCAAATGCATTTGATGTATCATATTGCCTTTGACGCAGTGGCATGTCATCTGTTGTAATGGAGTGTCTGCATTTTCCCAAACATTTCACAGCTGTAAAACCAAAATTATTATCACTAGTGACATTCTTGCCATTTCTTGCTTGTTGAAGTAAACATATTTAAGCAGTATTTTACTTAAACCATAGTTCTACAGATATAATGCTTTATTGAAAGTGAGGAACTGTAGGAATAGCAGAGACATTATTTTGATAAAGTATGCTATAAAGTCGGAGAGAACTGAAGTAACATAACAAATAAAACAGCTGGTCACAAGTGTTTGTGCCAGTGGTTTTGTGGAAAAGTGGCTTCTCAAACTGAGCTTTTGAACAAAAATAAATTAAATTTTGGACTGTTTTTATGACATTTATATTATAATATTTTAATTATTATTGAAAGGCTTTTGGATTTGTTTACTATAAATCTCATTATCAAGTTTTCAACAATTAAATTGAGGAAATTAGTTTTATCATCAAATCATGCAGTGTCATTTTGACACAAATATTGCAGAAAATTCTGCAGAAAATGGATCTATTCCAAGCCCATAAAAGTAAAGCAGTATAATTCTTCCTTGCAAAATGACTTCCCTATTTTTCAGCTTGCCCCAGTGAAATGATGTTTTGCACATCAGCAGTTGATTTCATTGAAAAGGTAACATAGGGTGGTTTGCAAATATGAGTGACTTTTAATACAGCTCCCTAAATGGGCAGAACTTGTGACAGGTTTTGCTGCAGGTAGTGTAAAATCTAAATACGGATTCCATGTTATAATAAACAAGGAGGGCATTTTCCTGGATTGTGCATCTGGCTAGTCACTGTTAGAGACTTTCAAGAACTGCTGCCCAAATGAAAGGAACGGGAGCCAGATCAGCCATGGGGCCATACAAAGCTGATGCATCATTTTCTAAAGAATAGCTTTCTAAAGGCATAAGGAGATGAGGCATGTCTTAGATTTCTCCTCATTTGAGACTAACTCTGTATGTGCCTAATGTAGATATTTTCCATCATATTCTAGCCGAAGACACTGAGACAACTGTTTTTACCCAAAAAGAGTAAGAATCATTTTGATATAAAGAAGATATGTTTTCTTTTTAACTTACTGGTTTTAAACGCTGCTCGTTTTCTCCTGTTTTGGAACAACAGCACCTTACCCTAAACCTACCTAAGTGAGTTAAGGCTGGATCAAAATAGGTAGGCTCAAAATAAAAACATGGGCTGCAGACAGTTAGGGTCCTGCTTATATTGAGCAACAGTAAACAAAGCAATCTCTAAAAAGATCTATCAAATCTGAAACATTAATTTAAATCTAAGAAGTCTTGTTACATCTTCATTTGTCCCTACAGCTATGCAAACTCTGGATCAGCAGATCATTATCAGCCACGAAAACTCTTGGCACATAACCATGCACTGTCAGTGCCTTTTAACTGCCTAGTTAATTTGTTTTATTACTTAAGGTGAAGCTGTAGTAGCTAGTGATTAAGTACTTCAGGAATCACTGCTTTACTCTCAGCACTACAACAAAATTAACTGTGACAGAGATACAGCTTTCTTCTGAAAGCTACATTGCGATTGGCCATATAGGATACCCAAGTATCTGAAATGAAACTGAATAACAACAAAAGATTGAGTATCTGTGTATGTAAAATTTTTGCTGCCTTTCAGAAATCTGTGTAAATAAGATAAAGCCAGTGATGGTCAAGATTTAAACACTAGCAGAAATATGCTTATCTTATATTATACTTAAATATAATTAGTTCTAAATAACATCAGGAGCATTCCAATAAGTGACAGATGTAGATATTAGAATAAGTGTAGCTTATAAATTTGCAAGTTTTACTTATCTTACATAACATATTTCATCTAAACATAAATCATATGTAGAAAAACAAAATCTACACTACGTACATTGTACAGCATCTATGCTGTACGTATATTAGGCAGAGGTATATAATTTGCATGCACTTTCCTAGTCGCTTAGTAACTGTGATACTGATTCTGAGGACAACTCTGTAACACCCACTTAAGCTTCTGTTTTAATGCTTGCTGCATCCAGACTGTTAGTTATACAAGTTCCTAATTCATTAACCATAATGATCACCACAATGCAAAAATTGTGATGCCAGTGACTAGGATAAAATTTGCAAATATATGAATTTGCTCCTTTACTCCAAGTGTTGGATGTTTTTACAACAGAAAAGATAGAGAGGAGACTTTTAAAAAAATTCTTTGGGGGTAAGTAAATTCTTCCAACTTCTAGAGCTGCCAGTCTGACTTTATTTGTGATCACTAAGTTAAACATCTTTTAATAGAAAAATGACTTAGGCTTCTTCATCATGTGCTTCAGCTGTGAGGAATAACACTATATATAAATCACATAGACTATGGGGCACTCTCCAAAGGCACAGAACTCTCCCGGGCAAGACAGAGATGCTGGTGTGCAATCTAAAGTGTATTGCAGACCAGAGGTGCCACGTGGCTTCAAAAGACCTTCAGAGATATGTAAATCAGTGCTGTAATCTTCAGGCTGTGTTATGTTAATTAAATTTTGAATCCTCATTACTGAACATTTACTTGAAATAGCTATTTATTTAGTGATTTTGAAAGGCTTGGTGAACTAAAGGTTTGCATCCCAATTACCGCAGCTACCAGTGTTCTGTTTTCACTACTTGATGGAGAAAAGTCTGAAAGAATTTTCTGCATTTATGTTTTCAGGCTATCCAAGCTATTAATGGCCACACTGACATGACTGCTGAAGAATTCACAGACATGGTATTTCAGAAGATAGATGTGAACAATGACGGTAAGAATTTAGGGTTTTTTTGGCATTGAGAGTTTCTATTTTTTTTTCCCCAAAAGAAATTGTGCCATCAGGAGGGAAGCTGAATACACTATTGAGAACTGACTGCTTAAGGTGAACCAAAGGCCTGAATCTATACTTCTTTACCCGTATGTCAACAGCATTACTTCAGATTTTCAATGAAATATAAGCCAACTGACACTGTCAACCTGGCATGGGAATTGCAGTGTAGTAGTGGCTAAAAATATGGAGCTTTTGCACTGTTCACCCAAATTGCCAGTGCTCTGCATGCACAGCAAAACGAAGGTGTGATCAAGGTATTTTTAGCCTATCTGTGATGGCTTAATGTATCTCAAATGGATAAGAAAAGCAATGGAGATGCATGGCTGCACACCCTCTGCCATCTTCTAAGGATTGGACAGCATATCTGATGGCCCTTGAAGTCTGATTGTTAACACGTGCTGTTAACAACATGGTGCTGTTGTTTGTCATGACAGATAAATTAAGCTAACTGGACTTGCAATTGGAATTCAAAACTTTAATTCACTGCTTTGAAATTGTCTCTAATGGAAAACATGTCACATGTGAACCTCTTCATTCCTATTTGTAATCATGAAGATCCTCCTCTGACTTGCAATTCTGTTTTACATCAACTACGGCAAGTGACAACAAATTAGGAATATTAAGAAAATAATGCAAAGCAAGATAAAGTCCTAGCTGGGGATTCAGGGTGCTTTAATGTCTGTTTTTCTGGTCTTGTTTGGTGCATCAAAGCTACTTATCAAAAAAAAAAAAAAAAAAAAAGCAAGCTGTTTGCAGTATATAATCATAATACGGTCATCTTGTGATGTATATGATTATCCTGTAGAGGATTCCCTGCATTTGGGGGTTGAATGCAATTACAGGCTCCAAATAAATATTTATATTCTACAACCTAAAACCAATTCTATGATTATTTCTACTTTGGCCTCTGCTTTGCCTATATATTTACTGCAAGTAATAGCTGCATCTGAGCTGGACCATGAGCTTGAAAAGAAAGCTTGAAAAAGCTTGAAAGCTTGTGTGCCTTTCATTTTAGCAATGAGGTGCCAAGACATGAATTATTCAGCATGCTCCTCATAACACTTCAATTTCAAAGCGCCTTCAATATTTAGCTGTTTTTTTCAAATAGCTGCAAAATGGTAAGGCAGCCGGATAGACTCAAACTGCCTTCGAAAGGGGCAGATTTCCCCACGTTCTCTTTAGCCCTTGTCCTTGCTTAGTGAACAGGAGAGAACCCGTGGCACTGGAGAGGAAGCAGCCTTTGCTGCAGATGTGCTTTTCACATGTTTTAAATGCTGATCATTTCCCTGTTCTACAGCAGAGGAAACTTCCAAAGCTGCAACGAAGCAAATGCAAAACTCGGACAATAAAATTCCAGGGTGTGCTGAAATCTCCAAACAGCCAGAGGCCATCTAGTTTAAGCAATTCACCAGAAGTGCATGTGATTTAAGTTGCTGCTTGCCTTTGCCCTGTGGCATACAGCTGTTTTGCTGTTTGCCTTGCCTCTTTTCATTTCTTATTTCAGTGAGAAAACATTCATTTTAATGATTTTAATAAGAAACTTTAAATTGTTCTCAGAGAGAAAAAAAACCTAACTTGAAACCAAACTCTTCTTTTAAACCTCTTAGAGAAAAACACTGTCACTGGAATGATTTTAATGAACACTCCCATGTAGCTTGCCAGCAGAAATACACCTAAGACTGACCTAGGACTTTGCTGAAGAACAGGAGAAGGAGCAGAGAAAGAGGAAGATTGCTAAAGAATATTCCAGCTCCTCAAAAAAGAGATTTTATACTTGTCTTGAAACTTCCATACCCTATTTGGAGGTGGGTCCATCAAAACAAGGTCTAAATCTCCATTTCAGTTGGCTGGAAGAATTTCTCTAATCAAGTCACTTAACTGATTTTTACTACATCCTACGATGGCTCTAAATAATCCTGCTAGTCAATACAGGGGGAGATGCCTGGTAATCCCCATAAATCACATTCTAATCTCTGCTAAGGCCAGGACTGCCAGCTATACGCTTAGCTCCAGTTAACTGTTTTTCACACACTTGTGCCACCACAGATGCCAAACACTCATAGCTGGCTTTGACTTCTGTGAAAGCTGTGCTTGGTATCTTTGAACATGGAAAATGAGTCACAGTTTTTAGATTGGATGCAAAGTAGGGAAACAGTAGAAAATATTCTCCCTGCATTTGTGTATCAATGCAAAACCGAGGAAGCAAGTTCTTCTTGGGGCACAGAGTCCGGTGTGGATGGTTTTGTGGTTTTGTGTTGAGCTGAGGGTGATTGCTAGCTCCCATGATTTCTAAGAAGTATTTGATTTCCTTTCAGGGGAACTGACTTTGGAGGAATTTATCAGCGGCGTGGAAAGAGACAGGAATCTATTGGAATTGATTACAAAAAGTTTTGACCTTTCCAACGTACTCAAAGCCATACAAAACGGCAGGAGGCACAGCATCTGAAGGCTTCAGTGATGGATGTAGCATCTGTGTCACCGTTTGCAAGGAAGATAATGTTTGATACACTCAGGGAGCTTCAGCTTGTCAAAGCCTGCCTGGACCGTTCCAGGCACCCCGCTCCAGGGATAACTCTCCCTCTGAACTTTCAGTGTTGACCGCACATCTCCCTCTCCTTTTCTTTGTTCTTTCATTCACACCTGCGGCAGCTACAGGGCGCAAACTTTTGCCCACACGTAACTGAAAAACTATTTGATGCAGGACAGATAACTTACTTGGTCTCTATGAACACTGTTTAGAGTAATTGAAGGAACAATGGCAATATCACAAAATACAACTTTTCTAGAAGATACAGAGTTAATCCATTTCTCCTTTTGCATGCAGGTTTCTAACCTACTATTTAAGATGTGGTAAGAAACTTCTAGATGGGATTAGTTTCTATCTGGATATATTAAGAATGAAGCCTTGTTTGCATTAACTTAACATTTGCTCTAATCAGTGCTCAGAATAGGACTGGATTAACTGGGAAACACCTCAATCAGCTTAACATTCCAGAGACGTGTATCCTCTTTAAAAGGCTGTTTACTCCTCTTGACATCTGTAAATTAAAAAAACGGGATGTTTTCCAGTTGGGAGAAGTGTCTGCTACTCTTCTTTCAAATTAACCTTTGTAGAAATGAAAAATTTTATATTCATCTTTGTAGACGAGTAGAATCAGAAGTTCAATGTATAGCTAAAACCAAATTCTCTTGGGCACCAGAATGAATGTTGTTTGGTTTCACAGAGATTTGTGTCCTTTGACACAAATGCTTCTCATGGAGCTCTCTGTCACAGCTGCAAGGGACAAAAGGTACGAGGTGTCACGGCTGGTACATGCTGATGGGATTGCCGGCCCCTGCCAAAGAGACTGCTGAACAGCCAAATTCTTCCTGCCTTTTCTTCACAGGGAATACTAATTTGGGTATTTTTGTTCTGCTCAGGTACCTCGGCAAAAGCTTTTACCACTTCAGTCTGAGACTTCTACCTTCTTCCAAATTGGCTTGCAATCACCTCTGAATCTGGTGGATGTTAGGAGCAAAGGGAAGGGATTCATGGGCTGCATGATCACATAGGCCTCATTTATCTTGGGGTGCCAAGCTAAAAACAACTCAATCTTACCAAATAAGTAACGAGATTAGTTCTACAAACTGAATTCCCTGGCTGCAAAGGGAAAATTTCTGTTCTCTCTGGTTCTGTTGGCATTAATTCCCTCTCAAGGCCGCAACAGATTTTACTGAATTACAAAATCATAAGAGTAAGTTCTCCTTGGCTGACGGTGTCCTGCAGGCATCACTATAATACTAGTTGCTGTCAGAAGCATCAGCTTTACACAGAATAATTTGTGCATAAATTGTGCAGGATGAAGGAAACAGATATCAAGATTTCAATATGAAAATGTTTTTCTTCCAAACGCACTTCAAATCCATGTCCATCTGCACAAGATAAAATGTCTTCTATCGCTGTGATTATTATTCTAGTTTCTGGTTTGATGAATAGGATATATTATAAGCATGCAACAAGATCACTTGACATTATAAACAGTTCTGACATTACAGCTCTGACATTTGCATTTTTTATATCCTTTCCGAAAAAAAGAATGATGCATGAGATTGCTGTTGGGGTAGGACTTTAAATCTGTCTATTTACTTATAATTGACACATTAATATGTAACTGTCAGTATCAGTTTTCTCAACCTAGACTTCAAAAATATCACTTTTTAATGTAATGCTTTTGCATTTAAATTCTATGAAGGTGGTGTTCTTCAGAACTGGCCCTATAATATTTACAATAAAATGGTCCAGTCTAATCTGTTTTAGGGTATGGGAGCAGCTGTGCTTTGGATTCTTGCACATTAACTAATGAAGTTGCTGGTTTAAAATTGTCTATTTATGTACACTATTTTTTATAAAGGGATTTTTAAAAGAGAGTATTTTCATTTAAATTTGCATACTTTTTCTGTGTAGCTTTAGTTATATGGTGTGAATTACCAGCTCAGAAAGCGCATTGTGTTTGAAAAAATAATGAATGTAAGGAAATCATTAGACATCTTTTGTGAAACTATTTTGAAGGAGTGTCTGGCATGCTTATTTTCCACCCTTTCATATGAAATAATTTAGTAAAAGCCCATGTAATTAAGATGCAAGTATCTTTTCTCTCTGATATAAACACTTTGACATATCATTTCCAAGGTACTTTTTTTTCAAGAATTCACCTACAGCAACTCCACATGTGTTTGGGAATACTCCTAAGATTATATTTACGATGCTAGATTACTTCTACAAGTTGATTAGCCTAACTTTCCTTTGAGTACTTAAGCATCCCTTGATGCACAGGTGCTTGAAACAAATGCATTATGGCCACATTTGAATACTGATTGCATTCTTCTATATCTGAGAGCTGCTTATCAGGTGTAGCAGTGAAATCAGGTGGCATGTGGAAGAACCATCTAACTTGATTCCCCAAAGTCTTGTTCAGAAGAAGCTGCAATTTGTAGTGGGGTTGAGCTGCTTTGTGGTAATGAAGGAGTGTTGCAAACTAGCCCTTGGGTTGCTTATTACTATTTTATTAGACAACAGAAAAGGAAAAGTGGCCAAGTGTTAGCTCACTTTACATCTACCCTTAGCAAATACATAGGTGGTTAGTGCTGCGCTACAGATTCAGAAGGCTCCTGAGCCTACACAAATGTGTTTGTGCTGAAGCGCCAGCATGGGAGAACAAAACAACTACAGAACATGGTCTGAAGAAGCATCATGGTCAACAAGACTGATGTCCATGCCCACGATGAGTGTCTGGAGGAGCTGGGCTGCCTACAGCACGATGGCAGAGAGATACGAGGTCAGACAATCGTGTCCTGTGAGGACCTACTTACTCTGTCTTACTTGTGTTACCGCAGTCACCTCAGTAGAAAACACAAGCATGAAGCAAGGTCTGCTAGTTAGGGGTGCTTAGCAAACCAAAAAGGTAATTGGTAGTTCCTCCTCTCATTGAAGCTCTTTCACCACTAAGAGATCCTGGTGACTTTATGCTCATTTCATTGCATCTGAACAGCTAAGGGTAATTAGTGTGACAGCTTGTAATCCAAACAACTTGTAATTATCCTAACATTATTCATTTTATTTATTTATTTTTCCAGTTGCTCAATATACTAAAAAAATACATAGGTAATTTTTTCTTCTGAGAATCTGGAATTCAAGGCCATAAGAAAATTACCTTTTCTTGTAGATATGAAATTGCTTAAGCATTAGTAGGCATGACTAAACCTTATGCCACAGTTACATATCCCTGAAAAAGTGGGAGGAAAGCTCGCTATGGTGTGCGATAGATATATCAAAGCTGCATTTAATTTCTGACCTTATGTAAGATTAGCCATACAGACCATACAGACCATAACAGCTAAATATTCAAAGTTCAGGTTCCTGATGTGTCTGTAACAGGTAGATATTTTCCCATTTTCTTGAGGAAATGGGCTCAATATCTACCACATGGAAAGATTTCCAGAAGACTTGCAGAATTATAGAAATGACTGAAGGATTCAAGGAGGGATTTTTAAGTACCACCTTAATAACTTCTGCTAAATACAGCTTCTGTCAATACAGAACACTGTTAAATGAACCCAGAGCGACAGATAACCATTTAAAGCTACACTAAATCTGAGGTCCTTTGATACTGCCAGCGGAGTGTCTTCCATTTTGCCTTCTCACTTAAAGGGCCTATTTTAGGAGATCCTCTCCATTTATTACAAGTGTTGAAGAAACTGCAAGAAACAGAACAAGATATCCTCTTTGTTATCTGGCACAGCTCTGACACAGGTGTATCAGGGCCAGAAGGGTTTATATATACACAGTGTATGCAAACCATATGTACCACCATGCACTCAGCAAGCCCACGTTCCTGCTAAATCCCCCAAATATTAATTGCAAAATGTAGTTGAGTTTAACAAAGTGATTGTAGATATTTCAAAGCATTTCAAAAATAGGAAATATACATAGCTTTTCATTGGATTTTTGATATGTTTTTCAGTAGAAAGCTGAGTGAGGAAACAGCTTAAGTATATTATTTTATCACAGTTAAAATGGTAGCTTCTCTGCCTGAGGGATAGTGCTGGGCCACTGCTAATTGTTCTCGATTTTTTCAAACGCCAAAGGAATTTACCTCTCAAAATGTCTTCAGTTTCTTCACAGAAGCATTCAACAGCACAGCAAAATAAATGTAGCTTTTCTTGTTATTCTTTAGAGTATTGGATAGCTGTCCAGGTTACCAAGGTGTGCTTTACGCACCGCAGAAGTTTGTGTGATGTGGAGAACAGTTCACTTAGGAAAAAAAAAACGACTACTTCTTGCCTAGGTCAATAAAAATTTTCTGAATGGCAATGAGACTCCAACATTTCTTTTTGCAGCTGGGTATGAGTATTTGATCTAAGCAGAAATGTTTGGTATTCCTTCTTCCTATCCCTTGAGCCAGGCAGTCTTCTGGCTTTTTGAATACACATAGCAATTATAGATTTCCTCTCTACCTTCCCTGGAAAATGCCACAGTATGCTCAGAAGGAAAAATGATTGCAGACTTAGGGACCCTTCATGGTTCCATATGAGTCTACGATTCCACTGATTGCAAACTGGAACAAATTTTCTTCATGCTAACATCTAACAAATACATCAAAATCTGGATTTATTCAGAATCTTATTAAGCTTTTATGATGCAGTATTTCTGTGGGCCACTGCAGAGAGGTGGAGGGAAGGAATGAAAGTTTTTGAGAACACTTTTAAAAAAAAGTAATGTATTAGCACCACTATCATCTTCCTTTAAAAAAATAAATGAAATATTCATGGAAAGGATTGACATAGCTTTGAGTGAAACGAAACTCCTGTCAAGCTTTGAGCAGGGGTTTTCATTCTTAGTATCCATTCACATACTCCATCTCCTCTCCTCAAAGCAATAAAAATAATGGTGTTTTATACTGACGGTGTACCTTGAGCCTGTAGCTTTAACGGACTGGATGCCAAGAGTTTGCACATTTCCTCCTCTTTTTATTTAAATTATAAATATTTGACAA